TTTGTGATTTGATGGTTTGTGCCGAGAAGTCTGCTGTAATTCTGATGGGTGTTCCCTTGTAAGTGATCTGTTTCTTGTCTTTGGCGGCTTTTAATATTCTGTTCTTATATTGGATTTCTGGAATTTTGAGTAATATATGCCTGGGTGTAGCTCTGTTTGGGTTGTAGATGGCTGGGGTCCTGTAGGCCTCATACATCTTAGTATCTTTACCTTTTGCTAAATTAGGGAAATTCTCCTGGATTATTTCTGTGAATAGCTTTTGTAGTTCATTTGTTTGAGTCCCTCTTCTTTTATGTTCTTAATTCTTAAGTTATAGATCTTCCTATCATCTTCTAGTTTTTGTATTATTGCTGTTTGTTTTCTTGTTATTTTTAAGAAGTTTTTCATTTCATGCTCCCACCTTACAAATCTGTCCTCCAGTTCTGATAATCTATCCTTAGTTTCTTTCAAGCTGTTATGCCAGCTTTCAATAGAGTTTTTAGTTTCCTGGTAATCTCTTTGGACCTGCTGCACGTATTCTATGTTTTCTCTATTTTCCCCATCAAACAATTCTCCATTTTTGTTCTTCCATTCCACCATCTGTTTTTTTCTTGTGTGGTGCTTAGCATTTCTCTAACTATTCTACTTATTTCTTGCTTTATTTCATTAAATACTTCATTTTTGAACTCGTCTATGAGGCTCTGGAGATACCACTTTATGTCTATAGGTGCCGTGTCTGATATTGCATGTTTTCTGTCTTCATTCTCTTTTGCATTTACCTTTCCTGGATCAGTGTTCTCAGGATTGGGGACTGAGGACACTTTCTTGTTGCTCCCTTTTCCCATAATTTTTGTTCCTTCCATACAAGCTCATGTAGGAGGCCCAGGTTTTTTTTTCTCTCTCTCTCTCTTTGTCTGTTACAGTTTGTTTGAATCAGCCGGCTAGGTGTTCCCGCCCACTGCAGTGTACTATGGAGGTATAGACCTGGGCAGCCTCTGCTGGGCCTACCCCTCCAGGTCAACCTACTGAATGCTTCACTGCTAGGGTGCACCGCCAGGCACAGGGACCTGATATGGGCTAGCCTCCTGGATCTTAGCCCGTGGTGTCACCAGGCCAAGTGCTCCCCACCACTCCCACTTGACAGGGGAATATGTGACTAAAGTCACTGCAGGGCCCTGTTCCGGTTAGTCTGCTCGTTCCCAGAATGTCCTCCATTGGAGCCTCCTAGTCTATGGAAGGGTCCCCACTTCTCTCACTCACCACAGGTCGATGCAGGGCTCCCTGCCAGTCCTGCTCTCAATGCCGTTTGATTCGCCGATTCCAGCTCTCAGAGCTTTCACATGTCTCTCTCCCTGCTGTGCAGATTGAGACACAGTATCGGCAGCAGGAAATTCAAATCGTGGCTTCCAATGGCACAGGATCCAGCTTCCGCACTGAGATTTTATCTGTTCCTGGTATAGCATCAGGATTGCATTTCCAGTTGGTTTCTCTCAGCTTAGTTCGTACCTGGGTTGGCAGGGTACATCTCCCCTTGTATAGGACTCCTCACACTGCACCCTCCTGGATTCTAAGCTGGTAATCTCAGAGAGCCTCCGTGGCTGCTGTTATTTATCTGCCATGTTCTGCCGGAAGTTGATTCCTTGTTATTTTTAAAGATCTTTCCTTTCCTGTTCACTAGCTACAATCTTGTCTTCGAGGTCTAAAATTCTATCTTCACTTACATTGAGGTGATTTTTAGAACTTTCAATAGAATTTTTTATTTCTGTATATCTCTATGCATCTGCTTTATGTATTCTATTTGTTTCTGATATTCCTTCTATCTTTTTGTTTAGTACCTCCAATTTTTTAACTGTGTCTTCTTTATATATGTTCAGCATCTCCTTCATTTCTTTTATCATTTCTTCTTTTATAGTAACTCTAGTTTGAATTCCTTTAAAGTTTCCCAGAGTTGCTTGTTTATTTCATTTGCTATTATGTGCAATATTACTCCTAAGGTTTCTTTGGATGAACTGGAGCTTTGAGATTGTAATTTGGTCTTTCATTTTGTCATTTTCCTATATTTCTGTGGTTCAAGGGTTTTTCCAAAGTTTCCCCAGGGTCTGTTGGAGATCCTGTCCTATATCCTCAGCACCTGGATTCTGGTCACCCAGCTTCCAGGAATGAGAGGTCACTGGGGGAGGGGCAGGTCAGCCCAATCCTGGCACCCAGAACTGATGGCACCTGCTCCCCCAGAACTCCAAAGTAATCCAAGCACAGCTGGGAGGGCGAGGCTGCTGTAGGCCTGCCAGGTCCTGCCACACTGGTCCAGTACACCTGGAATCCACAAAGGTCCCTGTCCGGGGCTGAGCGTGGGTCCCAAACTAGCTGGACTCCACAGGAAGCTGCTGGGGGCACTTACACCAGGCCACTCAGCCTCTGGAAGCAATGGCTCCCACTTGCCTGCTCATAACTCCAGAGACCACCAAGCACTGCCGGGAGTGGGGAGGCCACTGCAGGCCTCTCAGGACCCAGCATGTTGGTCCAGGGACTTGGAAGCCACAAAGTTCAATCTCCAGAGCTGAGCGAAGGGGGTCCCAAACTAATTGGAATTGGGAAAAAGTGCATGGGGCACTTACACCAGGCATGCAGCCTCTGGAACCCATGGTGCCCACTTGCTTGCTTAGAACTCCAGAGTCCTCCAAGCACCGCTAAGAGCAGGGAGGCTGCTGCAGGCCCCACCCACCCACCCACCCACCCCGTGGAAGTCCCATTTTTTCCAGCTATTTCATGTCTGGGCATATTCCCAGAAGAACTGAAAACATCATAGCAAAGTGATATATGTGCACCCATGTTTATAGCAGCACAATTTGTAAGAACCAGATCTTGGAAACAACCTAAATGTCCATCAACTGAGGAATGAATTTTAAAAAGTTGTGGTATTTTTATACAATTGTTTTATTATTTATTTATTTTTATACAATGCTCAGCTATAAAAATGACCACATTGAGATGTTTATATGTAAAGGGACCAAATTGAGACCATACGTATAAGCAAAATACATCAAACTCTTATGTATAAATACTATAAAGTGTCACTAGTGTGAGAAATGCTAAGAGTACGTAAGAGTTTATGGTAATTGTGATTCCCCATTACATTGCATTGAAGCCTTACAATGTTTGCATTCATTAGGAGGAATACTTTTTATCCTCATTTGTTTGATTTTATTACCTGTGATGGTATGAACAGGTATTTTGAAGAAAACAAGCCATTATAATAGACAGTGCTGATTTAATATCACCTTGCTCTGAAGTCCTACCATGCTTTTGTTTTTCTTTTTTCCATTGGTTCTATCATGTTGTATTTTATTGAATTTTGTGTGATAGTATAAACAAAATTTCTACGGCAAATGAAGTAATATAACAGCCATAGTTCACTTTGTGTTATTTGGTTCTAAATGCCCTGTAATACTTTCCTTCTCTTGAATGGTTTTATACTACTTTGCTATGTTTGATTCAATTGTATATGAAGTTATGCTCAACTATTTCAAAGAAAGAGACATTATGGTAGTTACTGTTAATTACGGGTGGTCTTGTGATAAAATACAGCGTTGCTTACATTGTTCTGTTCTGATCTGCCTTCTTATGTCCTCTTTCGTCTTAATCTCTTTAAAATAAATATTTTTAAAATATAGAAAGAAAGAACAAAAAATTAACTAATAGGAAGGAGGAGATGGATCTCTGTGAGACTGAAAGGGATCTAGAGACCATGGGGGAGTGGGAAAGGGAAGAAAAAAGAATTAAGATGTGTTATATTCCTATACAATTCCACACAAGGAATTAAACATGATACACTACAAGCATGCACTAATAAAAATTTAAAATGAAACGATGTATTCTACTAACGCATTACATTTTGTGACTTTGCTTTGGCTACAGTTTTTCTTTTTCCATGTCCATACTTGAGATAATGGTTTCTCATTGAAGTGTAATCAACAGAATAAATATGAACTACTTTGAAGGGAACAAATATGTGGTAATTATATACTTATATGCATATTGTACAGATTCCATTCACAAATGTCTGCAATTGTCACATCCATCAAATGACAAAATATTTCCATCACCTTGTAACAATCTGTTCCCACTACATAGTTATTAATGTAGGCATTTATTTAAGTCCCCAGCCTCAGATTATGTAGTCATCTGTCTCATTCTGTTTATGTGGATGTACCTCATTGAATGGCTTCAAGAAATAACACATGACCTATTATTCTCATTTCACTCACTTGTTAAGTTTGAAGATCACCCGCAGGATAGTAAACACCTTTAATTACTTCTTATGCCTGAACAGTATTCCTCTCAGAATACCATACTGTCTCCACTCATCCCAGAATGGGAAACCAGTTCGTTGTTGCCTCTGAGCAGCTGTAAGAAACCCTTTGTAAATATTTTTCAGGGATTTGTAGAATGCATCTGTTTATCTCTCTTATGCATCAAGAAAAGAATACTGCACTCAATATTAGGCTGGTGAAGTTTCTACCATATGCCAGAATGGTATTAGCACTCAACGGGAAGAGGAATGTGTGTGTGTGAGAGTGTGGGTGTGTGTGATGTTTCATAGAGCGGTGCTTACAGGTTTTTCTCAACACTAGGGCATGTGTGCCATTTAATCAGTTGACTTTTTGAAAGTGTCAAAAAACATAATCCTGGTTACACAATTTATATTTCTCAAATAATTCAAAACATCTTTAGTTTCCACCTTTATAAACAAGTTGAGGGTTGTCTTTCTGGAAGTTTGCTGTTATGCCTCCATCTGCACTCACTCTGGAGCCCACAGTGCCCAAAACTTGGTGAGAGGGACCTGGCTTTGAGGTGCAGCTTCTCCTTAAACCTTTACCACACCAACCTCCCCCAGGCAGACAGCAGCTTCAGATGGCCTGCTGCCCTGCTGCCCTGTGTTCAACTTCTGATCTCTTCCCACATTGACCGCATCGGTTTACATTCCTATCAGCACTGTATGAAGGCTCCAACTTCTCCACATCCTCTCTGGTACTAGGCTTACTTCACATTTTCATTACTCAGGACTCCCTAGTGTGCATGAACTGTGACCTAATTGTAGTTTTCTCCCTGCACCTATTTGATTACTAGTAGTGTTTTGAAGCTTCCTGTGCACATTTAGCCTCATGCAAATACCTTTAGAACTACCCAATTTCTCTACCTATGTCAATGTCTTGTTTGTCCTTTCATTGTCATTTACGTATTTTGGATATGAGCGCTTACTGCAACATGACTTGCACAAGTTTTCTTCCATTATTAGAATTCATTTTATTTGTATACACTTGCAGTACATAATGATTACACTCACGGTGGGCAGTTGACACATGCATGGGACACATCTTTTTTCATCCCTCACCCCGCCACCCAACCTTGCTACTTCCAGCTCCCGGTCCCCTTCCCATCTTCCCACTTGTTGTAGGACATATTTGCACTATGATGATACTGTCCTTTGATACATAAAAGCTTTTAATACAGTTAATATTCTTATTCCTTTGTTTTTCATGCTTTCCATTTCACAAGTAAAGCTTGTTATACCTAATGTCAAAGAAATTTACAATTTGAGAATGGAAATGGCAACGAATGAGAACTGGCAACATGGAATATGGTGTGGCAGTTTCTCTAAACACAGAAAAATATTGTCATCCTTTACCGGCAACCCTACATTTGGGAATACATCCAAAGGAAATGAAACCAGTACATTCAAGAGCATCTGAGACATACATGGGATGGCCTTGGATTTTTCCCAGGGGGATGTCCTTTCTGAGTGAGGAACTCCTGGGGTCCCATCAATAAACAGAGTCAGGGGAAGAGATGCCTTGGAGTGCAGGTGTCAGGAAGCTTGATTCACAAAGAAGAGGCAGAGCAGGCAGAGCAGGCAGACAGCTGCAGGGCAGAACACAGCGTGCAGGGTCTCTAGAGGCTGATACCCACAGGCACAGTTCTCCTCCAGGGTTTGCTGCTAGATCTTTGTGTGAGCCCCAGGTGAAGGCAGTGGCCTGTCCATGGCTCCACTCCCATTGCACTGGACAGATGCATGTTGAGGAAGAAATGATGCTGCCCCCACTGCTCCATCCAAGCACCCTGAGTACCCACCATCACAGCAGCAGAATCACAGCTTCACTGGAGAAGCCTTCAGTGGGGAAAGCCCACCTGCTCTTTCTCAGTAGGGTGCACGGTGAGGAAACGGGAATGAACGGCTCCCTTTACCTTCTTCATCAACTTTCCTTTCCTTGCAACTCAGAGTTTCTGTGTGACAAATCATTCCTTGCATGTGTATCTGAAGAGTACAGAGACCATGGATCTGACTGACCTTCAGCAGTGGTCATCCACCTGGAGCCTGGAGTCACCGCAATTTCCCTGTGCATGTGGGAACTGAAAAGCTAGAGGTTGGATTACACACAAGGCCTGTTTATTGCTGGAATCTTTTCACTGTTGACTAGATCTACATTGCTGTGGACAATACTGCAACATTAATTGCATTCCACATAAAATCAGTCATAAGGATCTATTGGAAGGTTCCCGTAGGCGGTGTAGATAGTTGAGTACCTTTAAAGTACCCAAAACTGCAATATACATTTAGAGAACGTTACGAAGCTTATGTGATTTTGCAACTTAAAAGATTTTTTACCAATTATCTGATACTCAGATCTGTTATTAGTCCTAGAAGCCAAAGATGAGCACACGCATTCCCCTCCTTTATGCAACTGCTCACTATGGCCTATGGGAGAAGCGTTGCTCTTTGAGTGCAAACAGGGTGCAAACTGCAATACACAGGGGTCTGACAATTCACTACCATAAACACTTCCATCTGTCAATTACTTGACATATATGAATCAGCAGCTTTGGACTTAAAATACACGCACGTATCTGGTAATAACAATAGTTCAGCACTCCTTACTATTTATTGCCTCTTACTGTTTTGGGAAGCACTAACAGAAGACCAATCTAAGCCAGCGTATAACAAATTTCTCCTGGCAAAGCTGATCTGTTCTGTTTGCTCTTAGAATCCATAGTTACTGCTTTACTGGTAAAAGTTCGTGTTGTTTCTGGAATCCATGCAGAGCAATCGTAACTTGTATAGGCTTGGTCACAGGACTCCGGGACTCTGTTATCTGTACTGAGATGCCCATTGCAGTTAATGCTCACCACCACAGGTCCTCAAAGAAACCATGTGTCCGGGAAGCACCAGGCTCATGTTTGATCCTTTTCTCATTGTGAGGGATGTTTCAGTTAGTGCAGATGTTTCTGAACAAGAGGGCATGTTGAGCAGACAGCCAGGGAATGTCACAGGAAAGTATCACTCCTGAGCAACAAGACCAAAAGGAACATAAAGTTTGTTATCATTGTCATCATGAGGTGCGATTCTCATTGACTTTTCCCTGCCATCTCCACGCAGGGGTCACTAACCGAGGGCTTGGACACACTGTGACTCCTCAGATTACATCTGCTATGTCTCAGGCATCTGATGACACACTTAAGACACTTCAAAAGAGAAAAAACAGACTTCAGATAAATCAGTGGACGCCTGGACAGTGTGCTACTTCAGGTTATTTCACTACCTCAATCCCATGGCTCAGAACATTGTCTTGGCTTAACCTCTTGTGATGCAAAACTTCCAATCATGGATAGGAAGAAAGCCAGGTCCAACTACAGGATCGATAATGAGTGCAGCACAGTAGAAATAACACTGCAAATTTCCTAGTCTGAGACTTGATTTCTTAACATTAGAAGTGTTATGTATTCAAATGGAACAAAATGATTCCAAATAAAATGGTTCTGGCACTACCTTGCTTTATCAAGAGGGTGGATGTAAAGAAAAATATGTTCCCTGCCCCTGCTTCCTGTATAGAATTCTCTGAATGCAAAGTCTAAATCAGAAATATGACATAGCTAGACTTAATCAAAATTATGTCCCATATAACCTGATCATTATTTCCCTATTTCTCAACTGGATATCTTTCAATAAATAATAACATTATTATTTTAAAAACTATATCTGAGCATGCAAGCTAATAGCAGTCATAATCACGAGAGCCAAGCTTTAAAATCTATCAAAATTCCACATTCACTCAACAGAGGAATACAAGAAAACAGTGTGCTTTATAAATACATAATGAAGTCTTGCTCAGTGACTTTTTAAACATGATATGGAATCTCACCTTTTGCAATAATGTGCATTGAACTGGAAGAAACTAAGCAAAGTAAGTTAAAGAAAGACAAAAACCACAGGATCTCACCAAAAAAAAGGAAAAACAAAGTAACTATAGAGAAGTCCCAAGAATAACAGTGGTTATCTTTCCTGAGAAGGAAAGAGAGGAAGGCAGGACCAGGCAGGAATGACCAAAAAGCACAAGGTTACAAGTAGACAGGAGAAATGTGCACTAGGGCTCTACCGCCACATCAGGATAAACAGAGCTATTATGAATGGAGCACCTTACACTCCAGAGCAGCTAGCAGAGAGCTTATCATAAAGTTAAGCATAAAGAAAATATTGGTGCACTGGGTGATCAATACACTGACAACCGGTTCTGTTCATTACACAAGGTGAACAAACATCAGTTCATCACGTGGTGCCCATAAAGATATGCCATTAGGCATCAATAAAAATTTAAAAACAATGTTTTATTTGCCTCTGAGTTTTATATTTTTAATGTTTTTATTAACATGAGTGGCACATACCAATTGGACTCAGTGTGATATTTCAACACATGCATGCAGCATGCACTGATCAAATCCGCCCCCTTTATCCACCCTCCCTTTCCATCCTTTACAGCTTCTAGGAATCAGTCCTGTACATTAAGCTCAGACCACAATGTTAAGTGAAGTAAACCAGACACACAGGTTTAAATACCCCTTCTCTCATCTAGGCAACTCAATACATAAATAAAATACAAAATAAAATAGAAGAAAGAGAGAAAAAGTATTGGGATCAGCAATAACAATGTCTAAGTGTGTACCATGATTTAGTATAGTGGCTTTATATGTGCTTGTGCTTATTAGTCTGACTCTTAATCTGTATTTATAATTAACTTGATATCTGTACTAATGACAATTAATACGTATTTATGATATTTCACTTCATGCTTATCTTGATAAATGAAATGATGCTGAAAAAATTTTTAAAGAGGGCTAGAAGAAAAGAGGATAGAAATTGAGATGTGTTAAGTACATATACCAATTTTCCACAATGATCGTAATCACTGTATACTGCAAGCTTGTACCAATAAAAATACAGACTTTAAAAAGTGACTTGGCCCCATGAAATTATTTTTCACTCATGATGAAACTGAAGAGTTGTAAGTGTATTAACACCCATGATTATCACTCTTAGAGAAAATGGTGCGAGATGAGAAAGACAAAGGACTTAGAATGATTTGTTTTGTTGGACTTGAATTCAAGTATCAAGTCATAGTTTTTAATACAAATTTTAAAGCATGCAAATTATGCCAACCATATGTACATACATAAACATTTAAATATGTAGCTACATACCAGTATCTCTCCATGTTTATACATATGTGTGTGCACATTTTCACATGGTACTATGTATACATATGCCTATACATGAAGTATACACACATATATCAAACTTGTATCTTGCCAGAAGAAGTACCAGCTTCAGCAACATCCTAAAACATTCTACAAAATATCTGGTCTTCCTGGTTCAAAAATGGTAATTACATGAGAGAAAAAACCTGAAAAACTTCCAGATCAGTACTGAAGGGATTCAACAACTAAATTCAAGACATGATCCTGGACCAGAACCTGGCACATGAAAAACGAAGCTATAGAAGAGGTCTTTGTGAAAATCAATGAATTGTGAATGTGGGCTTTGTGTGAGATAATAGCACTGCAAAACACTCTGGTAATTACTGCAAGAAAATGACCCTTTTTATTATGAAAGTCATGTGTAAGGGAGATTGTGAACATAATGCCCATGGTATAGGTATGTATAAAGTGTGAGTATAAAGTAAATGGGGAAAATGTGAATACTGGGCAAGCTTGATTCACATATAGACTGGAGTTCTATCCAGGATTCTTCTGTAAAATTCTCACACAATTCTTCCTTGCATACAAAAATCTTATCAAAAAATTCAAAGAGGAAATAAATAAGCCAGGCTTGATGGTGAATGGCCATAACCCAGGAAGGTGAAGCAGGAGGACCAGGAGCTTCAGATGAGCCTGGCTACATAGTGAATTCCAGGATAGTCTCCACTCCACAGTAAGATCCTTGTCTCAAAACTCCCCCAAAACAAAACCACCAGAAAAAAGCAGGGGTAAGGAGAAGACAAAAATTAAAAGTAAATATACATAAACTGCCTAGCAATGAACCTAAATGAAATGCAGCGCATTTCATGAGAATCACATGTCAAAAGGCTTTCTTTAGAAAGAACTGAGTCAGTTAGTGGCTGTAACACATTCAAAATTGGGAAGAACTGAAAAAGATGCCCGTTTTCCCTGTTCAGAATCTAAAAGTCATTTCAGATGCAATCAGCAACTCCTTTCCTGGACCTCCATTTCCGGGGCATCCATGCTTATGAAGTTTCCCACACCACGGATCCCAGACAGGAGCTGGGCAGTGAAAATGAGCAAAGCACTCACCCGTGCAGCTGCTGTGGCTTCCAAGCTCCCAAATCCAAGGACACGACACCCTCCCTGCAGCCGTCCTTATTGCCCACAATCAGAGCAGATGCTGTGTACTGAAGGAGGACAGGCTGTGGCTGGCGATGTGTGTGACAAGGACACAGGTGACCAAGGAGAGGAGAGGCCCAGTGTGATAAAGAAGCGGGGAGCAGCAGCCAAGGGGAAGATCGCTTGAGACTGTTCTCAGGCCCTTTCCTCTTTCCTCCTTGTGCTCACAAGTGCCTTGAATGTCAGGAATTCTAGTTCGTGTGCATCCGTCCTCAGCCTCCCAAGTGAAATGCAAGTTACGTCAGGGCAGGGAAATTTGTTTCATTCAGTTAATACCCACAGCACCTAAAGCAGTGATTACGGAGGTGTCCAGCAGGATTTACTAAATGAATGACTCTAACATTCTCTCACACACACACACACACACACACACACACACACACACACAGACACACACACACAATCTCTCTCTGCACCTGGAGACACACAGGGGAAAATGATAGTTTATACCTGAGCACACCGACTGAGAAACAGGAGTAGGAATGAGGCTATTTTACTGACTTGTAAAATTGAACCTTTCCTATATATTTACGTATAGTCTAGGGCAGCTCCTCCAGAACAAAGAATCTTAGTGTAAGAGGTAATTAGAGGCTTACCTACTAGCTCCAGGAAAAAAGTTGGTGAGATGTCTTATGATCCATTTCTGAAAGCAATTAAAAGGATTAAAAATTCATACATAGAAAAGCCCTGAAAGCCTGTCTTGCTCCACAGGGTGTGTGAATGAGGACAGGGACAGAAGTAAAGTTTAGGATTTGTTCCCATCCCGCTATCTGATAAATCCAGTGCAGTCTGGCCTACTCTGAGAGTCTCACCGCCAAGCCTCTGAACCCAACCCCATCCCAGGCCCATCACGCTGTCCACATTTACTACACGTTAACCCAGTAAACCTGGTATCTGGACCACAGCTGGCCCCGCCCTCGGACCCCAGAACTAGTCCTGCAAACATCTCAGTTCCCGCCCTCTCATCCATGCTCAGTCAACACTCCAAAACCCGATTGCTGGCCCTGGGCCTCTCCCCCAACTCCGTGTCTACCCAGTGGGGGGCCCGTCTTGAATCCACTAAGCCAACTGAAACTTCTGGCCCCTGAGAACAGCTGCGCGGCCCTTGACCCGCCTCGTCCCCACACGCGACACCTCCCCTCTCCCTAACTGCCACAGACAGAGCAAGCCCGCAAGCTGAGACATAAACGCTTCTGCGCAGAACCGGAAGAGGAAGGCCTGTCATGGGGGAGCAAGCAACATGCCACTCAGCTGTTTGCATTGTCCCCGTGAAAGGGTCCCCTGGCCTGAGTCTGGAGTCCTAAATGAACTGTAGGAACTGTTTAGCATTCAGTACCGGATCTCAGCATGACAAGGTTGCAGAGTCTGATGAGAGCATAAAATCTGTCTCTAGCCAAATGAGCTGACAGATGGCCAGATGGAAATCAGGTAAATCCAGTCAGGGCTAAGCACTTCTTAAACCTTAACTCAGTAATTTTTCTTTTTAAAGTAGTGAGTGAATCCAACAGTGGTGACCTAGATCTGTAATGCCAGGTTGTAGGTGACAAGAGAATCACAAGTCGAAATCCAGCCAGGGCACCCTGCCTCAAATTTAAAGGCAAGAAGATCTCAAATTGAGGGCTGGCAACATGGAGTCCTGGCAGCCCTGCCCATACAGAGGCACAGGGATGGGATCCTGGATATAGTGAGAGTGGATATGGGAACCCAGGATCCTTGGTCTGATGGGCAGCTTTTGCAGTTTGGGACTTGGAGGTTTGGGGTTTGTCCTGAGTGTCACCTGTGTGGGAGAATGACACTTAATACTTCTGTAAATCTGATAAAAACGATTCCTTGACAATCTTACTTTCCTCATCTGTGAATTAGGCATAGTCATCCAGAGCCTTAAGCCCTGTATTCTGGCTGTCATGAGATGGACCCTGGTTTCTCATGGAAGCTGTAAGTGTCTGCATGAGGAGGACGTGTGTGCTGTGAGTGTGCATGGTATGTGCATGTGTTATGTACTAGTTGGGCTTTCTACCATCAGACTGGGGGAGAAGGCTCCAGAACGTGGGATAACCTGGATTCTTTTGACTTATTTCATCCTCCCCAGCTCAGTCCTCCCTGTACCCAGCCTCTGATGAGAAAGCATGCACCAGGAAGGAGACCCATCAGTGAGCTCCTGACATGCTGGTTGTAGGTGAGTCTAAGTTCTTTCAAATCATCATTCATTTACTAAATGTTTCTGCTGTCTTTGCATTGTCTCTGGACTGTGCTCAACTCTGCTGCTTGAAGGAGGTTGGACTCCTGGAGCCTCCAATATGACCAGGAGCGATGCCCTGCATAGCATCACACTGGACCTTCGAAGCAACACAATTAGACAGTAGGTGAGCAGTAAAGTCTGCGCCCTAAAGCTGAAGATAAGAGTGCTAAGCCCTTCCACACATCCTGTCCTCTGTACTTTCTTCCCTGGGTCTGTCAGCCTCTGCCCCCTCCCTGTCCATAATGGAGGATACTGGATGGAGCCATGAGGTTTTCAATGGTTTAGGACCTGGGAACCTTTCAGCTTGCAGACATGGACTTCTACCAGGAGGAGTGGGCATTGCTCCTCCTCCAGGAATCCCCAGCATCACTGTACAGGGAGGTGATGCTGGAAAACCAAAGGAACCTGGCCTCATTCAGTAAGCCCAGCACCATTCTGCCTTTTCTTAAATGCACCTCAGGAGGATTTTCATTCATACATTTTTGCTTAGTGTCCATTCCACTCACTCACACACTCCTTCAACAGGCACTCACAAGTTAAACATTCTACCCTTTCCCTCAGGAGAATTGATTAGACTCCCCTTCTGCTCAAGCTGAGCAGGACTTACAGAATAATGCTGCCAAGGATCACATTAGAATGCACAGACAGACAAACAGACTGCATCCTCCTCCCCTTGGGGTGCTATGTGACCCACTCAAATATGAAGCCAGGTATCCCGACCTCTGAGAGGACTCAAAAAATCTTCAAGATGCACTTTCCTGTCAAGACCTGGAGAGGTCCTTGCTCCATGCAAGAGGGCCATCACAGGTGACCAAAGAGGTCAACATGCTTGATCTTCCCAGCTGATGCACCAGATGCTACAGCAGCCAAAAACACCAGAACAACACCCAGTATTTGAAGACAGATTTATTTAAGTCAGCAGGCACTCATTGGGATCATCCCCAAAATATCAGGTCCTGATATCTAGTGGTCTAGGGCTTATATGGGATAAGAAAGAAGGAAGTTCAAGGCAGAATGCATTGTAAACTGGGTATTAGATCTCACAATATGCATCATAGTAACCAGCTATGCTTCACAGTGACCAGCTGTAACCAGAAGTATTACCTGGGAAACTAACAAATTGGTAATGGATCTTCTGTTACAAGAGGTGAAGGGTCTGAAAACTTACCATTCACAGAACAGGAGAGGAAAGGTACTCATATAAAAGGCATTTGGACAGATACTAATAAATGGGATGCTAACAGCTATCTTGCCATGCAAGAACCTACCCCGAGGAAACAGTTTGGCTGGAGTAGAACAGGGGAGTGGTGATGAGGGAAGGGTGGAGACAATGTCATTGGAGATGTGATTGTGTACCTCACTGTGTAGGGATACATCCATTATCATGGTTTTCTTTTTATACTTTCTTTTTTTATCACTTATTAATTGGAAAGACTTTATTCTGGGCTTCTTGATATGGAAATACTTGAAGCTATAGTATATGAAGTTTTATTCCAATATTTCAAGGAAAAAGACAGACACTATGGTAACTACTATTAAGTTGGGTTATTTGGTGGTGAAGCACTAGGTTGCTGAAACAGTCATGCTTTGACCTGTATTGTTATATTGTTATGTCCTGTTTTATCTCAATCTCTCCTTTATTCATTAAAAAATTATTTAGTTATTTTTTATGTTTTTTTTAATTAAGGGGAAAAATTTTAAAAATTAGCAGGATATATAATAGTAACTTTTTTTGATTTACTATTAACTTGTTTTGAAGTCCTGTAATACTCCCACGATCTTGTTTTGACTGATTAGACTCTGTTCCATTCTGTATGATAGTATCAAGTTTGAGGGTATAGGCAACTACTTTGAAGGCAATAAGATTCACTAAGATGCCCATTCTGGTTTGACAATAGTCTCCTTTGGAAGTCCTGTAATGTTTACAATGCCTAAGTTTTATTGCTCTTGTTCTCTACTGTTTTGTTCAACTTTATAATATCTAATGAGATAGACAGTTCTTTTTAAGGAAACAAGAGACATTTTTTTTAAATTTTATTTAAGAGGAAAAAGAGAAAAACACAAAACAAAACAAAGCGGTATAAGGGTACACGTAATACAGAACTACAAAAAAAAAAAACCCTAACAGTAAGAAATCACCTGTTAATAGATCACATATAATCATCTTGGAAATAGTTGCTCAAATCACAGTATCAAAGAATACAAAGTGGACATTCAAACAGAGAGACTGCAAACAGCTATGTTCAATGATCCAAAAACATTAATATAGTCAGGTATTTAACACCCCTAAACACACTTGCTGTTATATCCGTTAGAGCTCTTTTTTATCCCCTCTCTTTTTTACAACTAAATTTACACATTTTGGATTTTTTTACTCCTTAGTTCTTATTACTTGTTTGGGGGGGAAAGAATAAAGTCAAATATGGCTAAACAAAGCTGTCAGTCAAAACCAAGGATAGACAGAACAGAGTACAAGGTTATCAACAATGGTTATCAACGTTGTCTCTTGTTTCCTGAAAAAGAATTGTCTATCTCATTAGATATTATAAAGTTGGACAAAACAGTAGAGAACAAGACCAATATAACCATTGTTGATAACCTTGTACTCTGTTTCACATCATGTGCTATGTCTATCCTTGGTTTTGACTGACAGCTTTGTTTTGCCATATTTGACTTTATTCTCTCCCCCCGCAAAAAAAGTAATAAGAACTAAGGAGTAATAAAACCCAAAATGGGTACATTTTGTTCCTTATACTTTCAGTGCATTGAAATGTCAGCATTCCAGCAGGAAACAGCTGATACACTAAGTCAGACACTTGGGATAGAATTTTCATAGAGTGCTGCATTCAGCTGTGGACAGAATGTGGGGAGACCACAGAAGGTAGCCAAGCGTTTCTTACCCTTCCTCAGACACTGCTATTCCCAGTTATGCAGCACTAAGATTCAGAGACAGACTTAATTCGGACCACAGCTTTGTATTGCAGAACAAAATGACGGCACACACAGTTTGAAGGAGAAAGTTTATTTTGGCTCTTGGTTTCAGAGGTTTGCCTCACAGCAGCTAGGAAATGGTAAAGGCAAGGAAGAGAAACATTCCAAAGGCATACCCAAGGGCCCTTCCCTCCACCTAGGGCCTGCCCTCTCTAGTCACCCATTCTGTGATGGCCTCACTGGTGAATCGATCCATTGATGAGATCAGTGCCACATTATCTAATCACCTCCAAATGCCGCCCCCTCCCTGAACACATGAGCCATTTGAAGATCACATTTATCCAAACTATAACATTCTTCTCCTGGCCCCCAAGGCCTCTTGTGCGTTTTGTTATGGAAAATGAATTTAGTCTATGACAAAGTGTTGCTAACGTCTCAAAAGTTCTCAGCATTTCTCAAAACCCCACATCCAAAGTCTCCTCTGAGAATTAAAGCAACTCTTACCTGTAAACCCCTGTAAGATTCCAGATGTGTGATACACACTCCCAATGTAAAACAGCCAGTAAACTTTATACCTAGTGTCAACACTCTCAAAGCAAAAGTGTTGAGTATGAGGCAGAAAAGAATTGGATGGAAGTAGGACAAAACTCTTTCAAGGCAAACATTAAATCTGGGAACTCCATGACTGACATCTGTGCACAAGGTGACAGTACATGAACCCCAAAGGTATTGTGTGGTTCCACCTCTATGACTTGCCAGCTGCAGCCACATAGCCTCTCTCTAGAGCTGGCTGGGTTCCTTACCCACATCATCCCTTAGCCCACATTCCACATTCCTAGCATTTTCAGGTTTAGGGGTCTCCATCGAAGCTTTGGCCTCTTTCACATGGCTTCACACATCAACCTCTCAGTGGCTCCTGCAGGGAGTCTGTCACATATCACCCTCCTGCGCTGTAGAAGTCACTTTCACAACTCTGAGACAGTACTGTCATCCATAACTAAAAGAAGGAAGGTTTCTTTCATGTCATGTTTTCAGGCCACCATTGGATGCAGAGATGGCCTCAGGAAGAAAATAGTGGAGGAAAGGGTTCCCAGCTCACAGTATCCAGGAAGCAAAGACAGAAAGGAGAAGCCAGGGCCAAGAATAACAGTAGGACCCAGCCCCGGACATCACACTCAGCCACTGAGCTTGTCAGTGGATCCCTACTGTGACACAGTCTGAGAGTTGTGCTGCCTTGACATTTCAGCCACTAGGTAAACTAGTTCACCTTTCAGCCTCCTGCAAATTTTTAGTGCATGGATAAAATATAGACAATTTCTTTGCCAGAATGTAACATGAATGGCCTCTCGTCTGACTTCAAGTTGTATCCTTCTCTGCATGTGGAAGTTGATGGACATAATCCGTTCTCATTCTATGGGCACTCTGGTCCTCTAAACTCCCCCTCAACACTGTCCATTCACTTCCACTTACCACATTCTGGAGCTTCTCTAGCATGGGTTTCTAAACCTTTCCAAATTACTTCCACAAACTGAAGGCTTCTGAATCACATCACTGGCCATCCCATCATCACAGCCAACAATCCCACTTCTCTGGGGTTCTATTACTCAGCTTTTCACTCCTGGAACAAAATACCTGACTTCCGTGGCTCAAAGCAGCAAATATTGATTTGGGCTCTTCACTTCACATGTCTTGGTTCATGGCTACAACCAACTTCAAGGCAGAATCATATGGTGGAAAAGCATCGCACAGGAAAGCAGGATACTTCATCTCAAAGAGAAGGCAATCAGAGAGCAAGAGCATGGGGAAAGGGCAAGACATGATCAAACATGTCTCCTCCCCTCCTTCCTCCATGACCTACTCTCTCCACCTGGGCCCACCTCTTCATGGTCCCCCAGTTCTGAACTCAACAGATCAATCCACTGATGAGCTGAGATCCCTCAGGAATCACTGACCTTTCTAGACTCCAGCTCTGAACTCTACTGCATTGCGAATCAGGCCCTCCATACAAGAGTGTTAGGGGACTCTTCATACGGAAACTGAAACATTAACCAAGAGATCCCTGTATAACTAAGTATCAGAGATGACAGAAACCAAAAAACAAAAGACCCAACCCCCTACACACTCAAAAAGAAAGGAGCTTCTCAAACGCATCATTTCTACCCTACTTAAATGCCTGCTGGTGTCCTGTGTCTTCCCAAGACTACGTATCTGTAATTCCAGCCAAGAATCCCCTAGAAAGGCAATGCCCAGAGCATCAGTGGGCAAAACATAAGGCTTTCCTGGCTGCTTGGTGTGGGGACTGTTATGCCCATAGCTTAGGGTGCTGTCATGTGGCCCCCAACTGTCACTCCTCACAACTCAGCATGTGTTCTGTTTACAGGGGTGGCTAAGGCTGTGGAGTCACTAAGTGACTCCACAGTGACAGTGTCTATTCACCAGGCAGAAGACCCAGAGGTACAGGGTGAGGGGGAGCGAAGGTCAGAGGCTGTGAATAGAGCTGAGGCTCTGGGGTGAGATGGAAGAGAAGTAGGGGAACTTGTGGTCGCCACTGTGACCCTTGAGGTCCTAGAAAGACTCCTGTTCTCACTGAGCCCGAGCCCAGACTGAAGGTCAGTTCCTGGATATACAATGCTTTAAGGGGCCAGTAATTTCCCACATCTGTGTTTTGGATCCTCAGTCCTCAGCCTGCTGCTTGACAGGGTCTCTGCTTTTTATTCCTTCTGTGACCTGAAAGCAGCAGTGCCCACAGCTGGCACCAACAAGGACACGTGGTGGGCCTGCATGGAAAAGTGGCAGCTCTACCTTGAACAGGTTGATGCTGTCCACCTGGCTCTGAAAGAGGAATCCTTGATGGTATTTAGCTCCATCTCAAGAGCAGAGAGGAGGCGGAGACAGCAAGAGGGCTTGGGAGCCTGCTCTTAGCCCAGCTTCCAGTGTCACAGGGACATAGTAGCTGACCCCTCAGCTGTCTGCGAGATGCTCTGTGTTGGCGTTCTGCTTGATATTCCCTCAGAGAAACATACAAACAGGTCAGGGTGCAGTCACCCACCACCCACTTCCGCTTTCTCATCTCCACACTGCTCGTGTAACTAAGCCTTCGCGTCTCAGCACGCTCCCGTGGCTGCTTTGCTTTTGGTCATTTATGGCAAGCAGAGACACACAGAGAGAACAGAGGTTCCAGTGGCCTTGTGGGCCTGGTGTGCAAGAAAACAGTTTCCTTCCTTTTTCTCCTCATCCTGGGCATCTCAGCTGGCCGCCCACTGTGTACAGTGCAGGGAGCCAGGGCTACGGGCTGCAGTGGCCAAGGCACAAGAAACGGGAGCCCATGTGGGTTAAGATCGCTCTGCACAGATTCACTGGCTCCCCGCCTTCACAGGCACAGATGCACAACTTACGACCAGGCCAGGAGTCTGCAGCAGGGTCACACGAAAAGCACCTGGTCTCTGCTCAGTGACTGATCTATAAACTGGGTTCAAACACATAGGCTGCTCCCGTCATGGGAAAAATGAAACTGAGGCCATGCAGGGCACTGTAGATGCTGCCAGGCGCAACCCATTCACAGAATCTCACACACTGCGTCACCAGGTCACCAGTGGAGAAGAGTTGGTGGGAGGAAGGACACAGCGGGGTCAGGGCACAATGCCTTCCTGGCAAGTGAAAGTCCTGAGTCCTGAGTTTGATTCCTGGTACCAAAAAGAAAACAATGAAAGGGCACAGAATATAGGCAAATGCACTAGGCTGTGAGGTTGGACTGCTGGACTCAGCAGAAGATAGGAGAATCTCACAGATCAATGACCAAGACACAGCTGATACCCACGGGAGATCTCTGGGTCCCTGGCAGCCAAGGAAAAGGCAAGGTCTGGGAAAGTGCCTACCTACCTCCCAGCAGGGCCACAAACTGCTCCAGCAAATACAGAATCTTCTTGATGTACATCAGGTTCTTGACCTTCAGATGCTTCCTGCTGAGAAACCTGCAGGACTCGAGTTGGTGCTTCCCTACAGGTCCCCACTACCTGGCCCAGCTGAATCACAAACTATCACCACCACAGGAAAAAGACAGGCTGGCTCCCAGAGCCAGCAGTCTTGTCTCAAGCAGGGCCCCTTGAGGCACACCCCAAGGACAGAGGACCGTGATGGGAAGATGAGCCAGGCACACTCTCTGTAAGCCAAAGTGACCAGGACCTTCCCTTAACCCCGAGGCACGCCCCACCTGTACAGGTCCATGTACTGCACCAACTGGGAGTGGGCCAGGCAGAGCTGGGGACAGAGCACGGAGCACAGGCTGAGGTCAGACCAGGCTCTGGACAAGCAGCTGAGCACTGGGCCAGGGAGAACTGATGCCATGTGCAGAAAATGCCAGCTTGGGACTCACAGGATCTGTCACAAGCATGGGTCTCAGAAGCCAGGAACCCATACAGTGTGGGTCTATGACCCTGGGGCTGACAGAGCTGAGGGCACAGGAAGCTCTGGTCTGTGTGCAGCCACTTCAGGCTGGGCAAAGGGAGAGGCTGAAACCCTCAGGTAAGGAAACTCCCTGCTGGTTTCCATCCAATGGGGAAAGACCTGGGGTTTCACATGGCAAACACCACACTGCAGCCTAAAGTACCTGGGCCCTGCTCAGCTGGTGTGAAGCCAGCGGTCCCATCTCTGCTCCCCATTCCTGCACTGTGTGACCTTGGGCACGAGCCTCACCCTCTGAGTCCCCAGGCTCCCAGCATCAGTCAGGACTTCGGCCCCACTGAGGGTCAGCAAGAAGGGCAGAAGCAGATAACGCAGCACACAGGACATTAAGGAGTAGGAAGAGAAGCTTGTGGGGACCCCAAGTGCACCTGAGCAACACAAGAGAGTAACAAGAACCAGCGACCCGAGACCCCTGCTGCTCTATGGCCCCCTTCCCATCCAACCAGCAGCCTCTGTGAAGCTCTGCCAAGTGCTGTCCCTGGAAGAATCAAGCTCTGGGGTCTCGGGGGAAGGGTCCATGGCCTGAAGCCCCATGCAGGCCAACCCAGCTGGACCCACTAGCCTCTGTGCCATGGATGCTCGTGATGGCGTAGATCAGGATGTGTGCCTCATCTATGATGATGACCTGGCCCTGCAGCCAGATGCCCACAGCCTGCTGTGTGGCCACATGTGGGAGCATCAGGTAGGGCAGCACCACCATCTGGAGGGGAGAGAGCAGGCTGCTGGGGTGGTGGCCAGGCTGGTCCCATGGAGAACCTGCCTGCTCCCCTCAGTCCTGATGGGAATTGTGTTATTCCCTGCCTGGATCATCCATGTTTAGGGAAATCTGGGAGAGAAAGTGACTGTGTAGAACTGTAACTGCATCCCCAGCCTGTCTCAGAAGTACGGACACAGGAGGCTTGGAGCTGAGAGACTCAGAAGGGGATCAAGGATGAGAAAGAACTGGGGAATCTCTGCTGCTGACCTCACCTAAGCCCCCATGCAGCTCTAAAGCCCAGGAATCAGCTATGATCTGCAGTGCTGGAGCTGCTGCCACTCACAGAGTTGTGTGACTCTGTGACAGCTGTGTAACTTCGGAGGCTCAGATTCCTCATTTGCTACTCAGCTCAATAAACTCTGCCTCAGCTGAGGGTGGAGGAGTGGAGGGCAGTAATCAAACTTTCGTACTTTGTCAATTTTAGGTACATTTTGTTATAAAGATTTTCAAAGGCAGGTATGGTGGTGCATGTGTCATCCCAGCACCCTGGGAAGCTGAGACAGGAAGATGGCAAGTTCTGTCTTAGCCTGGGCAACAATGTGATAAGACCCTGTCTTAAAATTTTTTTTAAAAATATAAACAACAACAAAGGGTGGGGGTGATACAGCTCAGTTCAAAGGACCTAGGTTCAGTCTCGAGTACTGCACAAGAGAAAACACATTCTCCAGTAAAAAACAGTGATGAACAATCAGAAGTACTCAGAACCCCAGAAGCATAAGGTCCTAGTTCACATGTGAGCACTGAAGCTCACATACAGTGATCACACAAGGCAGTCAAAGAACTTCACATACAACACATAATGACCTCAGTGGGACACTACAAAGGCAAAGTTGGCTGAGGAATTCAGGTCCCTGACTGCCCAGCTTCTTCCTGTGCATCCATCAGCAGGTCTACCACTCCTTATACTCACCTCACGCACGCAGGGCCAGATTTAAGGAGGAGACTGAGGAAGGGAGGAGAAGCGTGCCTCAGTTTCTTCATGATCACCCACTTAGTCTAGGGTTCCATACCAATGACTGGCCTCCCGCCCTTGGACCCATCAGAGCTGGCCAACGTTGCCATTTGGGGGGTGTCTTCCCAGACTACAGAGCAAAAACCCCTGCACAAGCATGCTCTCACCTGGGCACAGCTGGCTCCCGTAATAGGGGCAGGCCCGGGTGTCCCTCCCAAGGGTCACCAGCTGCTCCATGTCCCAGCCTGATATCTTTACCAAAGGGGCTCTTTTGAACTCTCTGCATGACCTGGGCCACCTGGGAGTGTGTCGGGCTGCAGTAGTAAATCTGCCCAGAGCAAAGAGGAGGTCAAAGGGGGCACAGAACTGCCCCAGGTGCTCTCGGAGCATCCAGGCCTGGAGCCTGCAGGAAGAGACAGTGACTGCAATTGCAGTTCCAAAGGAGGCAGCACAACCTGCATCAGATGTCACCAAGGAAGGCCAGCCCGGCGACACCATCCAGGCCTGGTGACATTGCTGGAGCATAGGGCTTGGGGGCTCGGGACTGCCATGTCCTCACCCTCACCTCCCAGGGACAACATGGGCCAGGGGCCACTCCCACGCATCACCCCAAGTGTGAGGTGGAGGCTGAGGCCGATGCTCACTCTCCTCTGGAACTTCAGAGTGAGGACAGCAAGAGAGAAAAGTGGTCCTCGCATGGGAAAGCCCTATACACATGCCCCAGGCTGGGCGTCTCACCTTTATGATGTGCTCCTCCTCCAGGTCCTCCTCATCCTGGTCCACCCTCTGGGACAGAACACACCAGTCTCTCCTCACCAACTCAGCTAAGCGAGGGACAGCGAGTGACAAGCCCAGAGCACTGCCCTCCTCCCCAGACACAGACCTAGTTGGTGGGGGTTCAGGGCCAAAAGCCAGCAGACCTGATACCACATCAAGGCGCCCCACAACCACTGGGGTGCTGCCTGCCACCCCCACAAGCTCCAGCCCCACCTGCCCTGCCACTTGGGTCTGTGCAGCCCAGGGAGTGTGGGGAGGAAGGGGAAGGTACTCTGGGTCCCCAAGCCCAAGTCATTACCCAGGGTCCTGGACTCAAAACAAAAATAACTCTAAGAAAGGGCCGCCGTGTGACTGAGCATGAAGGGTGCAGGAACAGCACTTGGCGTCTGTCTGCAGGAGGCTCTGGCCATCCAGCAGTCCAGGCCTAGTGAAGAGGACAACACAATGACAGACTCCAACATGAGCAGAACTTCCACAATGCGGGGGTGCCAACATCGAGGCCACGGCATTCACTGGGCTGGGACTTGCAGGAGCTGGGGACCTTTGCTGGGAGGAGGGAAGGACCCTGGGGACAGTGTGGGAGGTCAGTACCTGACCCAAGCAAGAGGAGAGATCTGTTGCAGAGCCGAGCAGGGTAGCCAGGGTACAGCAGCGTTTGGGGATCCTGATCCGCAAGAGCTGCACCTGTCCCTCTGCATCCCCAGGGGCTGCAGCCTCAGTTACACTCAGGCTCAGGGACAGCAGTGTCACTGACGGAGAGGGGTTCATCGGCCTTGTCGTGCCAGACCTTGACCCAGCCAGGGACCGATGTGGGCAACTGAAGAGATGTTCACAACCTCGGAAGAGCTATGACTTCTGGCCTCCTGCTCTCCCTGGAGGATGCTCGCCCCTTCCCTGGCCTATGGGGCCCACAGAAGTTGCCACCTCCCCATCCCCTGCACTTCTGTCTCTGCCTCCTCTCTGCTGGTCCATGTGTGCATGCCTACTGCTGCACCAGCACACTGCACAGGCAGCTCCTCAGTAGGACCACGCCTCACCTAACTACAACAGCTTTCTCCTTACATAACAGCTCCTGGGGACCTGTGCAGCCCTTGCCATGGAGACATAGCCCCCAGCTCTACCTGAGTCCCCAACCTGTGTCCCTGTGGTGCCCACACTGGCCCCCTCCAGGCAGGGCCACCTCTGACCCTCCCACCTGCCCCAACCAGCTCCCTTCTAAGTAGCCAGCCTGGAGGTCATACCTGCCCCTCTGGAGGCTGAAACAGGTGTCATGGGTCCCCATGCTTCCGGACACTGGGGATACTGTGTCTGTCCTGTGGTGAATGAGTCACAGAAGAGGGGAGGTACCTGGTGCTGCAGTAGATACAGTGGGACAGGAGTAATTGGGGCTGGAGAAACTGCCCCTCCTCTATTCATGAAGCTGCAGGAATAGGGGGTGTGGGAGCAGGGGGACAGAGCTAGGCCTGGGTGGGCAGGGCAAGGCCTGGCAGGCAACCCCAGGAGGCAAGAGCTGCCTTCAGGAGCCCACTCTTGGCTCCAGGTAGGGACACAGGAGACACAACAGCTGCAGTCTCTCACACTGGCTGCAGTCTTCTCCACATCACTTGCTTAGTCCACCAGCATCAGTTCCTCCTCAGGCTCCAGCAGCTCCAGTGGCTCTGCGCCTGGCCCCTTGGCCAGCAGCTCCCTGCCTAGGCTGAGAAGGCCTCAGTCTCCTCTTCTTCCTGCTCCTGAAGAGCTGCAAAGAGAGGAGAAGGCTCAGTACTGGCTGAGATGCCTCAGCCTCTGCCTGACTGTCACCAAGGATATCCCCCCGAGGTCCATGGACACAGCCTCGCAGCCTCGCTGCTCCCAGGGACTCTGCATGAGCAAGTGCTTACTTACGTGGGCCACGGGGACACCTAGCAGGCTCCTGTAATAAGTGCAGGCCTGAGCCTCCCAACGGAGGGCCAGCAGCTGCCATGTCTCTCCCCACCACCAGGATCTGTTCCCAGAGCAGCTGTGTCTCCTGTTCATTGTAGAAGGTGCAGGTGGCCGCCATCCCTTCGGCTTGTCTGCCTTGGCTCTGTTCTTACTCTCTATGGGCACCATAAGCCCAGGAGCAAAGACAGGGAGGACGACGCATGTCTCAATGACCAGGAGGGAGCTCTGGGATACAGAGGAAGACCTGCTTTTCTGTATGTGGTCTAAAGGACCCTCCAAGTTACACCTCAGTGGTGTCATCCACTCACACATCAATCAGATGCATTATCGGAGGCTACTTTCTGTTCTTCATATACTGCCTGTAAGTCCAGCTCCTAACCAGGGACTGGGCTCCTTCCCTTCTTGGGAGAGGGCAGGGCCAGCTTTGCCACTGTTTGCTCTCAGGGCCCCTAGGTCTCTTATTGGTCTCCTAAGCCCCTGCTCTCAGCCCAGGCCCCTCCCGAGCCTTCCCTCTGCTCCCCTCCCCAGCATGGTCAAAATTCATGGCTCCTACCATGTGGGCTTCTCAGCATCTCCATGCAGTGGACATTTCCTGTGGAAAGGTAGGTGCTGCTGGGATCAAGGCTGGTACTGGTGAGTCCTCTGCAGCATCCCCTCACAGGACTCAGCCACATGGTACCTGCAAACCCAAGATGTCTCACCTTCTCCCTTGAGGAAGGCTCAAGACCCTGGCACCAGCAGCGTCACCAGCAAGGCTTGTTCAGAAGAGACAAGTAGCACTCAAAGTCCTAATTCTCAAACACAACATTTGTCCTCCCCAGCCAAGCAAGGGCTCAGAGCAACTTCTTCATTTCATGTTTCTCTCTTGAAATTTTCTCTGTGAGTGTTGCAAATTTTGTCCTCCTCTAACTGCCATTCGGAGGACCGGTTCTCCTGCTTTGCCTCCCACTTAGGAAGCAATTTCTCTAACTCTAAATAACTTAGGAAGTAATTTCTGTAACATAGATGAGAGGTCCATCTCTTCTCAGTATATATATTTAAAAGTCTAAAACCCATTCTATTAATACATCTTTATTCTGCTGGTCTCTACAAAACAATACAGCTGTTGGATTGCAACGTACATAGAAATTAAATAACTGCTGCACTTGCAGGAGGATGGCAGAGTGGTGAACAGAGAAACAGTCTCTCAAATATTTGAAATCCGGACACCAGAATACAGCAATGAGAAGAAGAAGAGGAGGAGGGAATTGGTTCCTGGGACCCTGAAAGGATCTGAGGTGAGAATTACAGCCTACGAGGAGAATGAAGAGGGGACCAGAATGCAGAGCAGGGAAGTGGCAAGCACTGTTTTCTCCCTGAGCCCATCTTCTGGGAAATCGAGGGACGCCTTGAACCCCCAGAGGCACAGGGACTACCGGTCACCCAAGGGGCTTCCATGGAGAAACACACTGGGAGAACAGAGCAGTGGATTCTGTGGACTGCAGGGGTTGTGAGCTATTCAGGTTCACACGTCCCCCAGGAAAGGACGACTGCTCAGCAGCCTTTCAGGAAAGGGGCAACAGAAGTCACACCACGATCTTGTTTTGACTGATTAGACTCTGTTCCATTCTGTGCGATAGTAGCAAGTCTGAGGGTATAGGCAACTAATTTGAAGGCAATAAGATTCACAAAGATGCCCATTCTGGTTTGACTATTGTCTCCTTTGGAAGTCCTGTAATGTTCACAATGCCTAAGTTTTATTGGTCTTGTTCTCCACTGTTTTGTCCAACTTTATAATATCTAATGAGATAGACAATTCTTTTTAAGGAAACAAGAGACAACGTTGATAACCATTGTTGATAACCTTGTACTCTGTTCTACATCATGTGCTATGTCTATCCTTGGTTTTGACTTACAGCTTTGTTTTGCCATATTTGACTTTATTTTCTCCCCCCCCAAAAAATTAATAAGAACTAAGGAGTAATAAAATCCAAAATGTGTAAATTTTGTTGTAAAAAAGAGAGGGAGGAAAAAAAAAGAGCTCTAACGGATATAACAGCAAGTGTGTTTAGGGGTGTTAAATAGCTGACTATATTAATGTTTTTGGATCATTGAACACAGCTGTTTGCAGTCTCTCTGTTTGAATGTCTACTTTGTATTCTTTGATACTGTGATTTGAGCAACTATTTCCAAGATGATAATATGTAATCTATTAACAGGTGATTTCTTACTGTTATGTTTTTTTTTGTAGTTATGTATTATGTGTAACCTTACACTGCTTTGTTTTGTTTTGTGTTTTTCTCTTTTTCCTCTTAAATAAAAAAAAAGTTTCTGCACGTCAAAAGAAATCTCCAGCATAGTGAAAAGAAAACCTACAAACTGGGAAAAAAATCTTAGTGAACTGTCCCTCAGACAAAGGACTTCTGTCTAAAACATATAGAGAATTAAAAAAAATCAGACCCCCAAAATTCAAGGACCCATTCCAAAAATGGGCATCTGGGATGAATACACAATTCTTAGATGAAGAAATACAAATGGTAAATAAACACATGAAAAAATGTTCATCATCATTGGTCATTAGAGAAATGCAAATTAAAACCACACTGAGATGCCATCTCACTCCTGAAAGAATGGCCAGGATCAAGAAAACCAACAACAAATGTTAGAGAGGCTGTGGGGAAAAAGGAACTCTCCTGCACTGTTGATGGGAGTGTAGACTGGTACAACCATTGTGGAGGTCAGTCTGGAGATTTCTCAAAAAGCTGGGATTGGAAGTCCCATTTGTTCCAGCTATTCCACTTCTAGGCATATTCCCAGAAGAACTGAAAACATCATACCACAGTGATATATGTGCACCCATGTTTATAGCAGCACAATTTGTAATAGCAAGATCTTGGGAACAACCTAAGTGTCCATCAACTGAGAAGTGGATAAAAAGTTGTGGTATTTTTATACAATAGAGTACTACTCAGCTATAAAGAATGATCATATTGAGATTTATAAATAAATGGATGCAGCTTGAGACCATACTCATCAGCAAAATAAATCAAACTCACATATATAAACACCAAATAGTTTCCCTAATGTAAAAATTGGTAAGAATACATAAAAGTATGTGGTGATCATGATTCCCCATTATATTGCTTTGAAGCCTTATAATGTTTTCATTCATTAGTTGGAATGGTTTTATTCCAGCTTGTTTGATTTTGCTGTCTGTGATGGTATGAACAGCTATTTTGAAGAAAATGAGACATTATAATAGATAGTGCTGATTTAATATCATCTTGTTTTGAAGTCCTACCAAGCTCTTGTTCTTCTGTCTCCATCGGTTTTATCATGTTGTATGTTTTTGGATTTTATTATACGTGATAGTATAAACAAAAATTTTTATGGACAAGAAAATAATATAGTAACTATTGTTCGTTTTCTGTTAGTTGGTTCTGAATACCCTGAAATACTTTCATTCTCTTGAATGGTTTTACACTGTCTTGTTATGTTTGATACTATAGTGTATGAAGTTATACTCAATATTTCAAGGAAAGAGACACTATGATAGCCACTGTTATGTCGAGTTGTCTTGTGATGAAACACTATGTTGCTTAAATTGTTCTGTTCTGACCTGTTTTGTTATGTCCTCTTTTACCTTAATCTTTTTTTAAATTAAAAAAAATAAAAGGTCTTTTTACCCAAAAAAAAAAAAAAAAAAGTCACAACTCAGAACACCTGGAGGCCTGGCGCCATCTAGTGGCTGCAAGTGTCAGAGTGAAAGGAAGCCATGCTCAAGTTGGTCCAGGGAGCAAAGTTTAAGTCAGCAGCAGTCATTTGGGGTGAAGTGGGCTGAAAACCAGGCCCAAGGCCATAGCCAGAATGCAGTAGTCTGAACTTCAGGGGAACTAAAGGCCCAGGCCTGCTGGGATTATCCACCACCACCGTAATTCTACTGCTGGTTTGCTGGAATCAGTCAACATAGATCTGGGCTCTGTCTGGCCCCTCTGTCAACCAGTGACAGCAGAGACACACTGTAAAGTGAACATTTCTTATCTCTACTTTTTTTTTTTTGCTGTTTAACATTTAATTTTTGTGTTTATTTTTTATTTCTTTTCTTTTTCTCAATTGTTTTTTGTTGTTTTTATACCAGAACATCTTTCAAGTTACGTGTTTTTGTTTCTTTTCTTCTTTTCCTGTCTGTCTTCCTTTCTTTTCTCTGGATCTCTTCACCAATTCCCAAAGCCTGTACAATCTTCCTTTGTCCTCCAGTCTTGCTTCTAATCCCTTTATCTTCTTCTGTTGTTCCCTTTTTTCCCTCTAACCCCTTTTAAACATTTTCCCTGAGGGTAAACGGCCATAATGAAGAGACATTAACTGTACAGAATTTTTTAGTTTGTTTTAGATTTGGTTACATAACTACAAGTCCTGATCATATGTTTAAAATTGGCAAATTAATAGTTACCAAGGTTGTCATTTCCCAGAAAGGAACTTGTGCCACTGAGCTATATCCCTGGCCCCAAGGTTGTCATTTTCTAGGGAGTGTAGGATGCTATTCTTCCTCATTGTGCTATTTTAACCAAAGTGACGAAAGCAGTCTAATCATGTGTTCTTCCATACATGCCAACACTGAGACTGTCTGCAGATCATAAACAATTCTACAAACCAGGGCCAAAGAACCACAAGCTAGTAAGCCAAATAAGCAGCAGATTCTCATCCCAAATAATTTGAACCAGGAGAATCTTAAAACAGAATCAACACCCAAAGTCAGCGACAACTTGAAGACATCTCTGAGAAGTAGTCATTTCCCAAGAGTTCTTGAAGGCAGCATAAACAATACACAAGCATTAAAGCAGCAATTTCACTGAGCTAAAAATAGAAACAGAGAAGACACAGAAGCCAGCCGCAGCTCGAGATCTGCAGCTGCGAAAAAGCAAACCCAGGGACTGGGGATTTAGCTCAGAGGCATAAGCACCTGCCTTGCAAGCAGGCAGTCGTGAGTTCGATTCCTGGTACCCATTAAAAGGGAAAAAAAAATCCAAACCCAAAGGGCGGTGAGGTGGAGCCATTTGAAAGCAACCTATCTGGATGCTCGAAAGTGGAATCAGTGGAGGTAACCAA